AGAGAGAGAGAGAGAGAGAGAGAGAGAGAGAGAGAGAGAGAGAGACTTTTAAATCTAAATTCTGCCTCTGGGAGTAAATATATGGTATTTGTCTTTCTTATCTGGCTTATCTGGCTTAGGAATGACTTCCATCTCATTCCATTGTTTTACTGCAAATGTCATGATTTCATTTTTCTTTACAGCTGTACGAAATTCCATTGTGTATATGTCCTGTTGTATTTACTCACCCATCTGTCAGTGGTCATCTAGGCTAGTTCCCTTCCCTCAAATATTGTGAACGATGCAGTGCTAAACCCAATGCATAGGTGTATCTGTGGTGTGTTGACTTAGAATCCCTTTGGATCTAGCCCCATGGATCCAGTCTCATTCTGCTACTCCTGGACATCCAGCTTCTCCAGCGCCATCAGTTAAGAGAGTGGTTTCTTTCCAGAGTATGTTTTTGACACTTATTCAAAAACAAGGTGGCTGTGACTCTGTTGGTTTACTTCTGAGTCCTTCCCATGGTCTTTACGTTTTGTGCCATTACCATTCTGTATTTGTTGCGATGGCTTCATAGTATACTTTGAGATCAGGCCTTGTGACACCTTCATCATTGCTGTTTCTAATGAGGATTGCTTTTTGCTGTTCAGGGTCTTTTGTATTACCAATCGGATTCCCCCCTCATCTCTGTGAAGAGTGCCTTTGGGATATTGATGGGGATTGTGTTGAATCTGATGATCACTTTTAATAAAATAACCATTTTCAAAATATAAAATCAGTTAATTTATGACAATGGGATACCTTTTTATACTCCACTATCTTCTTTAATTTCTTTCCTTGGTAGAATAAAGTCTACATTGTAATAGTCTTTCCTCTCCTTGGTTGGGTTTATTCCTAGGTATTTTAATATTTTTTTTGTAGGAAGAGTCTTCAAGTTCTTTCTTGGCAAGTTTGTTACTGAAGTATAGTGAAGTGTTAGTTTTCATATACTAACTTAGTATTCCACTACTGTGCATGAAGTGTTTACTAGTTCTAGGAGTTTTCTGGTAGAATATTTTGGGATCTTTTGAACAAGTAAAAGAGTTGCTTGCAGCTAGGAACACTTTTAATTCTTCCTTTCCTATTTTTACTATTTCCCTTGTCTTTATTGTTTTATCTAAGACAGAGCACTGTATTGGATCAGAATAGAGACAATTGGATCAGAATAGAGACAATGGACTCCTTTTTCTCATTATAGATTTTAGAGGAAATATTTTTCAGTTTCCTCTCATTTAGTATAATTGACTATGAGGTTTGTCACATAGAACTTTATTACATTGTGATATGTTTCTTCTGTTCCTATTTTCTTTAGGACTTTTTAACACAAAGGGATGGTTGTGGAGACACACACAAGCTTCCTAGTGAGAACTTACTCAGGGTCAGAGAATATGAGCTTGCTTTACCC